AAATACCAAAATTTTCTTCCTTTTCTTTTTCCTCAAACATATCAGTACAAGAGGCCACCTCATCCTTGCAAAGAATCGTCAAGAATCATCATGAAACAAAACCATCAAATGGCCCAAAATAAACCAATAAAAACTTGTTTGATGTCAACCTTTGAGAAAAGGGTTTTGGTGGGTTTCATTTCATTTAAAAGGGAAGGAGGCATTTTTGGAAAGGGGGAAGGGTAAGAAAAAATAGCAAAAAGAAAAGAGACAAAAAAAAAAAGAAAGAAAAGAGAAAACGGGGAGCGAGAAAGAGCAAAAAATTTTCTGGAAAATTCTTGAGCAGGACTGATAATTCAGTCTCCTTCCTAATTAAAATCCAATTTCAATTGTAGACCTTTAGGTGATTTTTTTTTTTGTTTCTGCACCATCTACGTTCATCAACGAACAACTTTCCTTTCAAGAAATTTTAGAAAAAATGTCTCTACGTTCTTTGAATTTAGGCTCGAAGTCCTTGCTTCACCAGCTCTTGAAATCTGCCCAAGATGCCGTCAGCTTCATCTTCCAGCATTCGAATATGTTTTCTTGAGATTTGCCGCGTTTATTCAACTCCATAAAGCATCAAATGTAGTTTATTTAGTTTCTTTCCTTTTCATCTAAGCCTAGATCCTCACCATATCCATCCAAGTTTGCTGCGCTTGTTTGATTTTCCTTTTCTTCTATTTTTTTCTCCTCTTGTTGCAGGCCACTAGTTTAGATTCTTGTCACATGATTTTGTGTTTAATCTTGCATTTGGGTGATGGGATTTGGTGTTGATGCTTTTTTTTTTTCGAAACGTTAGAAGATATTCATTCATTTGACAAAGAAATTACATGTACGAGCAACGGCTCGAGATCTCTATACAACTAGTGCGCATCAGGCACTGAGGAAATTCCATTCCTCATCCACTAAAATGCCAAAGGCATGAGAACTTAAATCTCTACTACGCTTAATACTATTTTCATTTGCCAAACTAAACAAGCACAATCGAAACAACTTTTGCATGCTCAGTATGTCCTCTATCAAGGTAGCTAGCCTACTGTTAGAGGGACTGTTGTATTTAATCTGTCTCATAAGGTCCTGGCTTTGAAACTGGATCGTGATTCTGCTCCACTGATGCTCAAAAGCTTTGCACAAGACCAGATGGACAGCCATTGCTTCATCTATGACTTTGTCCCCTTTACTTCGCTCCTTGAGTGCCCATTCCGCCAGCCTAAGACTTGGGTGCTTTGTTGCTGTGACTCCTATCCCCGGTGAAGTCTGGCCATTCTGGCTTGTTATAGCCACTTCCAGCTTGATGGTGCCCTCTTCATTACACCCATGATGTTGCTCTTCCTTATTACAGGTTGTTTCTCTTATGCTCAATCTAGTCTTGCCTTTCGTAAATTCCTCTTGCTCCAGCCACTCTTTTTGGGCTTTACCAATTGTACGAGCTGGAGAGCAGCTGGTCTTGTTTTCAAATTCCTTGCAATTTCTTTCTTTCCACAACTGCCATAAGATAATGGCAGTCAGGCCTATGTGTTCCATCCCTCCTTGCCTAGTCCTTGCTTCTGAAATTCTGATCCACCACCTTCTGAAGTCCCCTTTTTGATCCATAGCACCGTCCCATTGTATTGGAGCAGCCTTCCATACCTGCTGCGAGTGCTGGCAGTTTAGCATTAAGTGTTCAACTGTTTCTTGATCCTCTCCACATAATCTGCACACTGGATCTCCCATTCTTGTTTTTCTAAAGATTGCTGCTCTTACTGGCAATGCCCCTGTTATACATTTCCAGATGAAGATCTTCACTTTATGTTTGATGTTGAGCTTCCACAAGGTGGTCCACATTTGTCGAGACTGCTGATCTTCTCCTATGATGCTTGGGCCTGCTTCCTCTGGTGCTATCTGCTTGACATTGGTACGCTCTTTCATTATACATTTATAGCCTGAGCTGACAGTATAGATTCCCCCTGGGTTGTGTTGCCAATAATAGTTGTCCTCCCTCCCCATCAGACTTAAGGGAATATTCAGGATCTTTTCAGCATCGCTTTGATTAAAATGCTGAAAGATGGTGTTCCTCTTCCATCTATGGTGGCTTATTAGCTCATTCACCATCTTCAAGTTGTAGCTTTGAGGACCAAGAGAGGTTGGCCTACCTGAACTGGAACCTGGAATCCATCTATGGCCCCAAATGCTCGTACTTCTCCCGTTACCAATTCTTCTGATCACCCCTTTCTCAACTACACTCCTAGCACCTAGCAGTCCTTGCCATATCCAAGAAGCATTCTGCTTAGGCCTGCAAGTTAGTATTGAATCCTTTGGGAAGTATCTTGCTCTCAGCACTTTACTAATGAGAAGGTTTGGTTTGGTGAGGATTCTCCATACCTGCTTACCCAGTAAAGCTTTGTTATAAGCTTCGATGTCCTTAAAACCCAAGCCTCCTGCATTCCTGCTTAAAGACATTTTCCTCCAAGATAACCAATGCAGTTTGTTTTTCCCATTTGCTTCCCCCCACCAGTAGTTAGCCATTAGAGCGCTTATGTCTTTACATAGCTTTCTTGGTAGCTTGAACACAGACATGGCATAAGTAGGCATTGCCATTGAGACTGCTTTAAGCATTACTTCCTTGCCCGCTGTGCTCAGTAACTTGTTCCTCCAGTCGTGCATCTTTCTCTTAATGTTTTCCTTTATGAAACCAAAGATTTGCTCTTTTGTCCTAGAGATCACCATGGGCAGTCCTAGATACTTACCTTGTGTCATCTCTGTCATTCCTCCCAGTGCGCTGCACACGTCTTGTCTTTGTTCCATGGGCATATTTTTACTGAAGAAAACAGAAGACTTCTCCAGGTTGATCAACTGACCTGAGGCCTCCTCATACATTTTAAGAATCTTCATGACTTCCTTTGCCTGCTGTTTATTCGCTTTGCAGAATATGAGGGAATCGTCTGCAAAAAAGAGGTGGGTGATGAATGGTCCTTGTCTACTTATCCTCAGCCCCTTTATATCATTTCTCTCTTCTGCTTTCTTCAGCAAATTTGAGAAACCTTCTGAGCAAATTAGGAACAAGTACGGGGACAGTGGGTCCCCTTGTCTTATTCCCCTTGTTGGAGCTATAAAACCTTTGTTATCTCCATTACAATTGAAAGAGTACGTGACAGTCTTCAAACAGCTAGTTATCCATGTAATCCATTGTGCACAAAAACCCATCTTTTGCATCATTGCCTGTAAGAAATGCCACTCCACTCTATCATATGCTTTAGCCATATCCAACTTGATTGCCATGTATCCTTCTTTTCCTTGCCTTTTGTTTTTGAGGTAATGCATGTATTCATGAGCTAGGATTACATTGTCTAAAATTTGTCTGTCAGGGATGAAAGCAGATTGTGTGTTACTAATGCACCTGTCCAGAACAAGCTTCAATCTATTTGCCAAAATTTTGGAAATGGTTTTGTAGATGACACTACACAAGCTAATGGGTCTAAAATTTTTCACATTTGTTGGATTCATGATTTTAGGGATGAGTGAAATGATAGTATGGTTTATGGATTTTAGCATGAAACCTGAGCTAAAGAAAGACTGGATTGCTGGAACCAAGTCTCCTTTGATAGTACTCCAGAAACGTTGGAAGAATAAAGGGGTCATGCCATCTTGGCCTGGAGCTTTTTCAGGCTGCATTGAGAAGAGAGCTGCTCTGATTTCCTCTTCCTCAACAGACTTAGTTAAATTGGTGTTCATTTCCTGAGTTATAGAGTGGGGGATACCCTCTAGCATCTCAATCATATCTCTCCTACCTCCACTGGTAAACAACTCACTGAAATAGTTAGATATTTCTGTGGTTACTTCCTCTTCATTCTCTGTCCATGAGCCATCATCCCTTTGCAGATTTCTAATCATATTCCTGGTTCTTCTCCCTTTAACATAAGCATGGAAGTACCTTGTATTTTTATCCCCATCCCTTAACCATTCGATCCTTGCCTTTTGGCACCAGAATTGCTCCTCCTTTTCATATGCCTCCTTCAGTTGGTGTTTGATCACAGCTGTTACATCTTTTTTGTTAACAGAGTTCGAGCCTCTCACAGCTTCCAGCTTTTTCCTTAAGTCCTCAATCTGGCTTTTTGAATTTGCTTGGAAGGTGTTCCTCCACTTCAACAGTTCTATCCTACAACTTCTGATCTTTCTAGTAATCCTGAACATACGTGAACCAGGCTCTTCCAACTGCCAAGCTTTCTCCACCACCTGATTGTACCTTTGCCTTTGAAGCCATCGTTTATCAAAATGGAACTTCTTTTTCCTTCTTTCCTTATGTGGCTCAGTGTCCAAAAGGAGCATGCTGTGGTCTGATGCATAGGTATCCAGGTGTTGGCATCTTGTCTTATCAAAAGTCTGGACCCATTCATAGCTAGCCAGACATCTATCTAGCCTCTGTCTGATTTCTCCCTCTTCCTCCCAGTGGTTACTCCAAGTCCAAGGATGTCCTTCATAACCTAGATCTATCAAGTTACTCTGGTCAATAAAGTCCTTGAAGTCCTTAAAGCTTCTCTCCTTCCTGAGAGTTCCACCCCATTTCTCTTCATTCGATACTATATCATTGAAATCTCCAACAATCAAGAACCTATCTCCCCATAGCCTACTTCTATTTCTCAAAACTCTCCATTGTTCCTTCCTAATCTGATGATCACAACTCGCATAAATTCCTACAAGCCACCAATCACAAAGAGACTCTTGATCCTCAATTCTTACCTCTATGGTGAAAGCAGACTGATTGATTTCCATGATCTTAGTGTCCTCTTTCCACATCACAGCCATGCCACCTGCCTTGTGCATAGCTTCCACTACAAAACTATTATCAAATCTTTAACCTTTAGCCAACCTGCCTACCACTAGTTTCCTGTTCTTAGTCTCACACAAAAAGATCACATTTGGGGAGAGGAGGTTGTTAACCTCCCTCAGGTGGGGAACTGTCAAGGGGCTCCCCACTCCTTGACAGTTCCACACCAAAGCCCTCATTTCTTTTGTGGGGCCCCATTAGGGAAGGACCCCACCTCCACCTCAGTCATAGCTGTGTATCCTACTAACTCCAGAGGCTTCGCTCGTTTGCCTGGTGCCTCTTGCTGATGCGCATCCTCCATGTCCTCGTCATATAGCTGAAACTGCCTTTTCCTTCCTCCTTCAGTGATAATAACCTGATCATTCCTCTCTTTCAGAGCCCTTCTTGTTCTCATTGGGGACTTCAACTTCTTGTAAGACCTTTTGGCTTGTTTGTTAATAGCTTCTTGAATCTTAGTAATACCTTGAGGCTCTTCCTGCCTCCCTGCCATCTGAACTGGAATCTCTAGTAATCTGTTCTCCTGTCCCAGCCATTTTGTGCAAAAATCTCTGTCCTCCTCCAAAACCTCCATTTCAACTACAGATTGATTCTCCTCTACATTCTCCTGAGCTACACGAGGAACATCAAGATTTTCCTTGTTCGAGGATTGGGGGTCCTCTCGACTTCCATGTTCCCTTCCACTAGTTTCCACATCAATGTAGGGATCACTACGATTTTGCAGGACCCCCCTTTCATTCTCCTGTTCTTTCGTAAACTCCTGGGAACTTCCATGTCCTAATCCTGAGGTTCTAAGAGCCTTTAGAAGCACCTCACCTGATTGGGTCCTTCTCTTCTCCCTCTCCACCATTTCTCCATTCTGAAACTTCCAGTATCTTTTATCCTTCACCGTATCATCCCTTACCACTCTCTCTTTGGCAGGGCTTCTGTTATTCCCAGCACGCATCCATGGGCCGTATTGGTTCTCCAGCAGACCCTCTGGAACAGTTATGCTTTCTTTGCAAGTCCGTTCCCCATGTCCTACTATTCCACACTTATAACAGAAATCCGGGCACCTTTCATACTTAAAAGCGACCCACTTAAGTGACCCTGCTATCTGCACCAATGTTCCTCTGAGCAGGGGTTTGGACAGATCAACATGTACTAAAGCCTTCAAATGCCTACCTTCCTTTCCCCCTCCCTGAGGGATAACAACTTCCTTTACATCCTTAAAAATTGCTCCAATTTTCCTGCCCACCTCTTTGGAGAGCCAATGCACGGGAAGGTTCCAAATCTGAACCCATAAAGGAGCAGTAATAAAAGCCCCATAATTCTCTTCTACCCCTTCTGACCATCTGTTCAACACTAAGCTTTGATTATCCATTAACCATGGACCCCCTGTTACTATTCTTTCTATATCATCCTGGTTTGGGATATTGAATTGGAACAGGTTTGGTCCCAATTCCATGACTGTCAGATTCTTGGGGTAACTCCATGCTGCAGTCACAAAATTCTTCACCCCGGTGAAGTTAGCTATTTTCTCACCCATGATTCTTCCTATCAGACTTCCTTCGCAATCCTTTACTCCACTGCTCAGGTCCTCCAACTCCAGTTTAGCTCCAGAGATCTCATTCCCCTCCAGCGAAAATCTTCGTAATAATTCAGATAAGTCACCCTCCATAGATAAGTTCTGAGATGCTAGCGGGTATTCTCTCGCTAAACTTAGAAGTTACGCCTTTTCAACTACCAGCCAAGAAATAGAAAAAACACAAGAGTAGCTAAGAAAGTAAAGAAAATGAAAAAACAGGGGACAAAAACAAGCACAACTAGACCGAAACTATCACAGTAAATGGGACCAGCCAGGCTAACGACAAGAGGAAAAGAAAACACAGACAAATAATAAACGCTGTAGAAACTAATGCATGTGTACAGGCCTTACCTCTGAAACGGGAGCAAGGAAAAAAAGCAAGTCTTACCTTGCTTACAACTGTTCATAAAGAGTAAAACTCAGGCTACTATGTGTTCCCCCTGGAGAGACATCCTTAAATTTTTTTGATTACGATGATTAAGCTGCGTGAATCTTCCTTGGTTACAGCCTCAGATCGGTAGTGGTGATGGTTGGAATATTGTAGAAAAAAGTGCGGGAATAGTATGAGTTTTGAAAACGTTTGAAACCATGCTGAAACTCCCACCAAAGGGAGGATGGCTCTTACCCCAAAAGAGAGCTTCCTCTACACTAGAGAGAGGATTTGGTGTTGATGCTTGAGTTGTACAATCTTGCGTATATTTGGATCCAAAGTTTTGTAAATCATTCTCTCGTGCTACCTGGGTTTTCTGAACATTCAAAGCATCAGGATCTGAGAAATTTCTGAACATTCGCTGGCCTTGCATGGAGGACACTAAATATTTACATTTTGCTCCTTTAATTTTGGTATAATTGTACTAAGGCCCAAACGTTTGTTAAAATGAATCAATTCCTTCCCTTTCAAGCCTTGAGCCCCTTTTATATGTTTGTGTATATTTTAAGTGAATTAATTTTTGATCTTTAGAGTATAAATTGGGGGATTTGAATAAAATTTGTTAGATTAAATTATTTAATCATGGCAATTTTAAGAATTTATGTAAATGGTCTTGATTTGGTGGGCTAATGTTTTTTTATTTTTGTTTGGACTTTGTGACTTGGGTTTTGAAGCTCAAGCCTAGTACTCTATCAATTTGATGATGTAAAATGATCTGGGTTGGGTTTTCTTTTAATAGCCTATCCTTTTATTGGGTTGAAGTGTTTTCGGCCCAAAATTAAAGGAGGGCAAGAAAAGGCCCACTTTGTTTCTGATAAGTTTTCTTTAGGGGTGTGCATTCGGTGCAAAATCGGTAATTCGGTGCACTGAATTCGGTGAATTCGGTTATTCTACCTATAGAAATCTAAACCGTTTTCAATTCCAAATTAACCATAACCGAATTCATACCGCAACCGATTTCAAATTCGAAAACGGCAATGAATTCGGTTTAACCGAATTCATCTATTAAAAAAAAGTCATAATTTATCTATTAATTTAAACTAGAATAAACCTTAGACTATACAATGATTTGTGATAATTTATGAATTTATAATTTACACTGATTAATAATAAGTAATATTAGTTAGTAGTTACAATGAATTTATAATTTACAGTGATTAATAATAAATAATATTAGTTACAAACTTACAAATTACAATAATTAGTGATAAGTTATATTAGTTACAAACTTATAATTTATTTCAAATCAAAATAAAAACTTATTTACTTACACATGTTATTGTAAAAGTCAATACACTAATACATTGATTTGCAATTCACATGCATTCACTTATACTGTTTAGTTGTCTTGTCTATAGTTAAAACCTTAAGATTAGTAAATAGATAATATGAATTTTAACTTATTTGATAACTTATTCCTAGAATCCTTAGTCTATGATTTAAGGAACACAATGATTAGTGATAATTTATGAATTCATAATTTACAATGATTAATAATAAGTAATAGTAGTTACAAACTTACAAATTACAATGATTAGTGATAAGTTATATTAGTTACAAACTTATAATTTATTTCAAATCAAAATAAAACTTATTTACTTACATATGTTATTGTTAAAGTCAATGTACTAATACATTGATTTGCAATTCATATGCATTCACTTACATTGCTAACTGCTTAGTTGTCTTATCTATACTTAAAGGCTAAAGCCTTAAGAATTAAGATTAGTGAATAGATAATATCAATTTTTATGTTAAATATGCAGAGTACACACTAATACTTGCAAGTTACAGATTACGCATTCAAATATTCAATAATTCAAACATGAATGATATATCAAATTACCAATATCTAAATTCTAATTATGAATTATGTTTATTGTTTAATATTTAGTATTATACATATATGTATTAATTATTATCTAATTCTAGTCATGTTACTCATGTATAAAATAATAAGTATTATAGTTATCTTATATTGTTATGTATTACTATATATTTGTATTATTATAGTTATATAACAATTAACAAATACTAAAAGAATATATTGTACATTATTATATATTATTATTATTATAAGTACATGATATGATGATAATACCATATACTAATTATTATTTATAGCATTTACCTATATAATATAATAAAGTATTAGTAGTATATACTAATACTAAATAGCATTTATCTATATATTATATAATTTTATATATCAATTTGGTAATTCGAATACGGTAATGCGATACCCGATTTCAATTACCGAATTTGAATGCGAAATCGATTATTACCAAATTCATAATCTCATTACCTATTTCATACCATATTAGAATTCGGTGAATTCGACATGTACCGAATTTGTACCAAATTACCAAATACCCGATTTCAAATTACCGAATTGAATTTGAAATTGGTTATGAATTCGATAAGAACCGAATTTGCTCACCCCTAGTTTTCTTAAGAAACTAGAAACGAATTATGTGATTTGACCCCTGATCTTTTGAGTTATTTTATTCTGGTCTTAAAATGTTGGATTTCTTTCACTTAGGCCCTTGATTTAATTATATTTTGGTCTCTAAACTTTATCTTCTATTCAATTTCGAACCCTAATTTTTTAAAAATTATAATTTGAGCCTAAACTTTTCAATTTATGCAATTAAATCCCTGATATTTTTATTTCTTAACTACAATTGTTTATCTCATTTAATTGTTAATCATATTTCATTTAAATGCATTTAATTAGTAAATTTTAGAAATTTTATGTTTATTCATATTTCTTTATAATAATAATAAAGTGAATTTACTATATGTTCACATTTTTCTTTTAAATTGTTAATTAAATTAGTGTCTTGACTATTTTGTTGATTTTGGAGCATAAAGAGGGCAAATTCTACCACATTTAATCACTACTTCAAGAAAGGTACCTTCTATCATTTAAGTTCTTTGATGTACTTATATGTGCTTTGTTTTTACATGTGATTGCATGTTTTAAGTGTTTTTTATTTATTTACTCATTTTATTAACTATAAGTTTTAAATTATTTTATTTAAATTTTGATGATTATTTGGGAGGCATTTAAATGCCAATTTGTAATAGATAGGTGCTCAAGAAATATATTTACTTAGTCCATGTAATAGATAGATTTTATTTTTATCAAATAGGTAATTAGCCAGATAAATGTAATAGATAAGTTTATTATTTTCAAATTTTCCCTTTTAGATTGTAGTTAGAATCCCCATTATAATAGTTAGTTTTCGTTTGCTTGCATGCTTGTGTGCTTACGTGTTTTATTTGCTTTCTCTAAAATTTTCATCTAGATATTATGCTTATTTGTTATGTGTTCTACATGCTCTATATGTTTTATGTGTTTATTTGCTTTAATTATGCTTTATATGTTTGTTTATATATAATAAATGCATGACATCACCACACTAGTCCAACACTAGTCATGGCTTTTCTTCTCGATTTCTCACTAGTTCAATGCTAGTGAGAACTTGTAAAAATAGGTAGTTCAATACTAGACCCTTTAGGTCATTTTTGCGCTAGATTCATATCTTGTGTGACATTTATTGCATCTCATACATTTTTTTTGCTATTTTTAAGTTATTTTCAAAATTGCATAACATTTCCTCTACTATTATTCCCTTACCCTCTATATGTTTGGGTCATATCATTTAGAATTGCATCTCATTCTCAGAAATTAGAAGTAGGTTAGTCTATTTGTTTAACTAGATTAGGAGAGTCACCCTTTGAATATGAGAAATGGGTGAGCATGGCTTTTTAACTTTAGCACGCTATTACCTTTCCATAAGAAGGAAAATTAAGTCATGAACTTTAGTACTCCATACCCGTTATGTTGCATTCTCCTCTTTTAGGTCATGCATATTTATATACTATAATTTCCTTTTTGAATTTCATCTCTTGCATTTTTCGTGACATCTTCAAAGAATTATTTTTAAGCATTACAATTAATGTGATTGGTACTAAATAAATTTTGAAAAGATATTCTGCCCCTCTCGATATTACCTAGGTCTAGGTCTGCATCCATATAAAAGCATCCAAACGTGATAAGTTTTATACATTATATTAAGAAAATTTTTTACTAAATATCGCAACTTGCCTTGGTTGGGTTGAAAGGGTGCTTTAGATCAAAATCTTTGCCTTCTCTTTTTTCAACCATGACTCTCAAATTCATTTCTTTTGTTTTCGAGGATCTGGAGTCATCTAAATGGGTTTTATTCATTTTTTTCATTTTCAAGCATTTTGGGTGACTTGGTACACCTAACCTCGATACCAAGTGGCGAATCTATTTTTTTTTTTATAAACCCTTTTAATACTATTATTTTGGCCTCAAATCATCGCATTTTCTATATCCCATTTTAAGCCCTTTTTCTTTGTTTTCTAAAATAAAATAAAAAATTTCATTTTTTAAACTCCCTTTTATTTTCAAAAAATGGGACGCGACAATGATAATCCTTCCTCCACTTAAAAATTGAGGTCCTAATCTTAGTTAGTTTTGCAAAATGACCCCAAGCAAAAAAGTCATGGTTGATATTCATGTATTATCATTCAAACCAATAATTAACGGATTTAGCCTCCAAGTACGTTCTTTTAAGTAAATTGATTTCTCCTGACACACTAAGATACTTGGGACAAAAAAGGATTAGTA